CGCGCACACGCGCACACACGCACACACGCACACACGCACACACGCACACACGCACACACGCACACCCACACACCCACACACCCACACACCCACACACCCACACACCCACACACCCACACACCCACACACCCACACGCACACACACACACACACACGCACACGCACGCACACGCACACGCACACGCACACGCACACGCACACGCACACGCACACGCACACGCACACGCACACGCACACGCACACGCACACGCACGCACGCACGCACGCACGCACAACAAACTTTCGCCTTCTCATGGGCGGCCACGATTTGCCGAGAAACCGAGAGCCGACCGAACCGATGACGAAACCGAAACCGATCGAAACCGAAAGGGGGCCTGCAGAACCGAATCAGCCGACCGAAACCGACCGAACGCGAAAACCGAACTGCAGGGTCACAGTGGCGCAGCCAGCGTGCGCTCTCGCTCCCCGCGACGGCGCACCCCTCACACGCTTCATGGCCCCATCAGAGCTCCGCTAAAATTCCCAGCGGCGCAGCCCGCGCGCGCTCCCGCAAGGAACTTCGGCGAACCCCATCGCAAGTTTCGTGGCCCCATAGATGCTCCGCCCAAGGCCCCGGCGGCGCAGCCAGCATGCGCCCCCGCCGCAAATTTCAGCACACACCCCGCGCGTTTCGCGAAGGTTCAAGTGGCGCAGCCAGCATGCGTCCGGGGGCGCGGCCGCGAGGATCGCGAGCAAGAGCGCGGGGGACATCCTTGGCATCGGTCGGGCGCTCCCAGAAGCAGCGCGTTGGAAGCCGGGCTCTCGAGGGAAGCTCGGGCCAGACGGGCGGCGGAAGCGGCGGATGTCTGAATCTCGGCGGACTTCCAAACCCCCAGGACCCGAAAATCAATTTCTCGAGCTCCGGAGCCCTCGGCAGCCGAAAAAAACATTTTTCGGGGCCCGAAAAATTGTTTTTCTCTCCCCGGGTTTTCGGCGCCTCCAGGGAGCCTCCGGAGCCCCCCGGAACCGAAAAAACATTTTTCGAGGCTTGAAAAATTGTTTTTCTCTCCCCGGGGCCTTCGGCGCCTCCAGGGAGCCTCCAGAGCCCCCGAAAGCATTTTTCGAGGCCTGAAAAATTGTTTTTCTCTCTCCAGGGCCTTCGGCGCCTCCAGGGAGCCTCTGGAGCTCCGGAAAGCCATAAAAGCATTTTTCGAGACCCAAAAATTGTTTTCCTCTCCCCCGGGGCCTTCGGCGCCTCCAGGGAGCCTCCAGAGGCCCCGGAAGCCGAAAAACATTTTTCGGGGGCTGAAAAATTGTTTTTCTCTCCCCGGAGCCTTCGGCGCCTCCATGGAGCCTCCGGAACCCCCACGAGCCGAAAAACCATTTTTCGAGGCCAGAAAAAATGTTTTCTCTCCCCGCGGGGCCTTCGGCGCCTCCGGGGAGCCTCCGGAATTCCCGTGGAAGAAGCGTTTTCGAAGCCTGGCCACGGGGCAAGATTTATCCGGCCAACGATGCGCCACTGCGCGCATCCGGCCAATCAGCCACCCAACCTCCTTGTTTCTGCTCCTGCTCCTCCTCCTCCTGCTCCTCTCCTCCTCCTGCTCCTCCACCTCCTCCTCCTCTTCCCCCTCCCTTTTTCTTCAAAGGGAAAGGCCAAGCGGAATCAGATCGGCGCGAATCCGTGGGCAGCGAAACCGAACTGGAAACCGGCGGCCGATTCGATCCCCTGGGCCGGCACGAGGCGCCAGCGAGGCGCCCGCGGCGAAACCGAATCAACCGAAGTAACCGAAGAGGGCGCGACGACGCAGGGACTCCGCAACAACCGAACCGACCGAACCGATCGATTCTAACCGACACCGACGCAACCGAACCGACCGGTTCGCGGCCGTCCATGCTTCTGGGGTGCGCCGGCCGTCCTGCTGCCCCCCCGCGCGAGTGGGAGAGGGCGGGGCCGTGCGCCCCGCTCGAGCCGTCTGCCGTGAGGCCTCCTTCTGCGTCCTCTCGAGATCGGCTCGGAGTCTGCCACCTGGCCCGTCACAAAGCGATGCGACACCCACGTTTCTGTTGCAGCGCTGGCGTTTTGTCTCGAGCCCCCGCTCTGTTGCAGCGTGCTTTTCGCTCGCCAGGTCGTGGGAACGGACCGCGGGCGGGAGGGCAAAGTGTCGCTCTCGCCCAAGCGCCGCGCATGTTTTTCCCCGAGATATGTGTTCTTGCTTGGGCCCAGCGCATGCCGCGCGCCCGCGGTCAGAACGTTGCGCTCCACTCGGGCGCGGCACAAAAAAATGTCCTCCGCCAAGTGGTCGGAGGCGATGTCGGGCACGCGGGAGCGCATTCCTTTCGCTAAGTGGGAGCACGCGCCAGGCTCGATATTTCGAGCAGTGCCAACATTCACGAGCATGTGATGGGGACGAGGGTGGGCATGGGCGGGGCCCGCTCGCTCGTTCGAGGTGGCTACCAGTGCAAAGCCGCACTCTCCTCCACCGAGCTGGCCGGCAGGGGCCATCTCCGGGTGGTCCCGTCCGACCCTTGGCGAGCACACACGCAGAACCCACGCCTTTCCTCTCAACGTGGAGGTCTTACAGCCGACGCTGCAAGATGTGCGGCGGGAACGGGCCCCGGCGCGCATCACGCGGCAGCGACGCGCCGCTCTCGCCCCAGCGCCGTGCTCACTCTGCCTGGGCATGGAACTCCCGCCTGGGCGCGGTGCACGTGCTTCGCTCGTCGCCAGGTCGCCGGCATAGGGGCCTCGCGCGGGAGAGCGACATGTCGCTCCCGCCCAGGCGCCGCGCGGGTCTTGCCCGACCCGTGCGTTCCTTCATGGGCACGGCGCGCGTCGTTCGACCGCCGCCCTCCTCGGGAGCCTCGCGCGCCGACTCTCGAAACGTTGCTCTCTTGTCGGAAGCGCGCGCGCGCACGAGGGCCCTCCGCTCGCAGAGCGGGGGCACGTACCAAGCCCGACGTCCAGGCATGCCGGCGTTGACTCGGAGCACCAGAGGATGGAAGGGGTGGGAATGGGCGGGGCCTGCCGACTCGTTCGAGCTGGCGAGGCTGACTCCTGCGCCCACGTCAACGCCCACACGTATCGCGCACCTGCAATCAGCCCGTATCAGAAGTATGCGCGGTAAGGATGCCAGGACCTTGGAGGGCCACGTTGGCGCTTTTCGAACGAGGTTGGCCAGCGAGAGTCGCTAAGGATGCAAGGGTATCGTCCACGCCCACGCACACGCACACGCACACACGCACACGCACACGCGCACACGCGCACACGCGCACGCACACGCACACGCACACGCTCGCGCACGCGCACGCACACGCGCACGAACACACACACACACACTTACACTCACACTCACACTCACACTCACACTCACACTCACACTCACACTCACACTCACACTCACACTCACACTCACACTCACACTCACACTCACACTCACACTTACACTTACACTTACACTTACACTTACACTTACACTTACACTTACACTTACACGTACACTTACACACACATTCACACAGACAGACACACAAACACACGCACACCATACACACACCATGCACACGCATTACGCTCAGGCACTGTTTGGTAACACATCTGGTATCACACCTGACAACACGAAGGGTGCGCTGGGGATGGGCGCCAGACCAATTTTGCAAGCTCGCAAAACGGCACGGCAGGCTTGTCACTTCCTCGACGCCAGAGAGAGTGCGTACTGAATGGTCCCTGCTCGCGGTCTCTATACGGTCTGGGCTCGCAGGGCACGGCAGGCGTGGCATTTTCTCGACACCAGAGGGGGTGCGCAGGGTGTGGTCCCTGAGCGTGGTCTCTGTGCACGGCCCAGGCTCGCAGGGCACGGCAGGAGTGACAGCATCTCGACGCCGCTAAGGGTGCGCAGGGGGCGGCCTCTGAGCGCGACTGGTGCACGGCCCAGGCTCGCAAGGCACGGCGAGCACGTCATCTTCTCGACACCGGGGGGAGGGCGCAGGGGTCTATACGGTCCAGGCTCGCAGGGCACGGCAGGCGTGGCACTTTCTCGGCACTAGGGAAGGTGCGTAAAGGGAGGTCCCTAAACGCGTCTTTGTTTGTTTTTTTTGTTTGTTTTTTTTTCTCTCTCTCTCTCTCTCTTTCTCTCTTTCTTTTTTTTTTTCTTTCTTTTTTTTTTTTTTTTTCTCTCTCTCTCTCTCTCTCTCTCTCTCTCTCTCTCTCTATATATATATATATATACACGGTCCACGCTCGCAAGGCACAGCAATATGTCATTTTCTCGACACCAGAGGCAGGGAGGGCGCAGGGGATGGTCCCTGAGCGCAAACTCTGTACGATCCAAGCTCGCAGGGCACGGCACGCGTGGCATTTTTTCGACACAAGAGGGGGGTGCGCAGGGTGGGGCCTGCACAACTGTCGCCACTTTCGCGGGCTCCTGGAAGGACGGATCCAGCCGAAACCTCGCAGCTCCCTGGGAGGCTGCGGACTGCACAACTGCCCCCACTTCCGTGGGCTCCTGGAAGGAGGCTGCGAACTCGTCGGCGACGTGCGGGCCGAGCGCGGGCTGCAATCAGAATGTTCGAAAAGTGTGCCAGACTGGCTTGCGTCGAAGAACAAGAACAGCACAAACATAACCTTCCGGAGCTCCTCGCGGATCTCCTGGCTCGGCCCGGGACCTCCCTCCATGGCGCAGCGCCGCGGGGCCCCAGCGCCGATCCCAGAAGTCCGCGCGGAGCTCCGAGGGTGGAGGGGCAATGCGGGAGGAACAACTTCTTGGAGGTTCGAGCGCGCGCCCCGACACCGACCGACGCCCAAGAAACCCCGGGTGCCCTGGCATTCGCGGCTTCTTCGAGATTGGGCGGCGACCCTCCGCGCCGAACGCCGGCCAGAGACACCCAGGGAGCCCCGACGAAACGCGGGGTGCTTCTTGTCATGGGCCCCCACTGTATGCCGCTCTTTCTTTTCTCGATGGCGCTCCCTCTGGCCTGCTCGCGCGAGCCTCCGTCTCCACATGTCCCCCCCCCCCCCCAGAGGCCTCGTGGGCCGCCGACGCCACTTCCAGCTGTCGGCCGCGGAGGTCTTGCAGCCGTCCTCTCAGGGGCTTGCGGCGCGAGGGAGAGGAGAGCGGAGGAGGGGGAGGAGGGGGGTACAGTCGGCCCGCTTCCTCCCCCTACTACTCCTCACTCTTCCGACTCCTCCTCCTCTTCGACCTCCTCCTCCTCCTCCTCCTCCTCCTCCTCCTCCTCCTCCTCCCTCCTCCTTCCCGACCTCCCACTCCTCCTCCTCCTTCTCCTCCTCCCCTCCTACCCCCTGCGGGGATGCAAGGGCCTCGGACGCCCATCTCGAAGTTTTTCGAGCGAGGCGCGGCCAACGAGAGTGGCCAGGGATGGGCCGAGGAGGCAAGGATGCACGGGTTCTCTTGGGAAGGTTGCCCATCCTTGCTATGCGGGTTGACTGTACGGCAGGTTCGCGTCGTGTCGACCCCAGCGCTGGTTCCTGACACCGCGGGTCCCTTTCAAACTCGAATGGTCGGCCAGCACTGCCAAGTCGTGCAACGACGGGCCGATTCTGGGCCACGGGCGGCGTGTTCCGGTTGACACGACACGAATCTAGTAGAGGGAAACAATCAGTGGACATCTCCCCTCCCCTGAATTCGAAATTGGCACGCGCGGGGAAGACTCCGGTCGAAGTGCAGCTCAGCAGAGCCATAACCAGTTTTGATCACTAGGGGGAGGGGGAGAGCATTGACAGCTGAGTGTGGCATGAGTGTGAGTGCTTGCTCATTGCGTCCTGAGGCCTGCGAGTGGAAAGGGTGGGGGGGGCGGTTACGGCTCGGTGCCAGCGGCGAGAAGTTACAATCGTCCTTACGAAACCATGCAATGGGTGCTCGGCCACCTGCACTTGCAGAGGCCAGCCTGGGGTACTCTGGGGGGCACTGGTCGTGCCGCTGAGGTGCCCCCCGTCGGCGGGGGCAGAGCTGTCCGCCTGCACATGCGCGGGAGAGGGAGGGCTTGTGGACTCCACGAATGGGGCCATGTGTGCCTGCCAGAAATGGAGTACAGTGTGTCTGGCAACCCACCCGCGCTCTGGCCTGGCGCGCCTGGCTGCTGCCGCCCTCCAGCTGCGCATCGTCGAACTCTTCGGCGTCTGAGCGTCCCTCCCTCCTCGTCGGCCCTCCCCTTCCCTCCTTGCACGCCGGCCAACTCGCTAGTTAATGCCCCGACCTAGCTGTTACGCTGGTGCGGACTTCGCCGCCTCGCCGCTCACGGAAAAAGTGTCTGGCAGCCAGTCGCTGGATCGGTGCAAATGCACGCGCCGGGGACGAGGAGCCCAACGCGTCTGAAGACATCACAGGTCACGCATCACCGTGCGCACGTCGATGCTGACTCACACGGCCAGGCGCGCAGAGCGTGAAAGATCGTGACCGACACGCCGAGTGATCGGATTATACAATTAAGTCGGGCACGTCCCCCTACAGGCCGATTTTGGATGAACAATTAATCAAAAAAAATTCAAAAATCCTGAAAGATCGTCCCCGGACTATTTTTTTATTATTTTGGAAGACTCCTCCTATAGAGGGACACGCCCGACTTTATGATACAACTGTGTGAGATATTACCGGGCTGGCCGTGAAAGAAACAACGGGCGAACCGAATAACCCTCCTCCTGTCTTTATTGCTGGCGCTTGTCGCCTCCTGCCTCTACCATCCGCCCGACCCATCTCTCATGCACCCGCCTGTTGTTACCGGTGCGCGCACCCCTCAACTCCCTTCCTCTCGCCTCGCGCCAGATACCGCGATCCTCGGCGTACTCCTCACCCTCCCCGTGCACCTCCATGATGCTCCTCAGCCCGACGGATGATCGCCAAGCGACCTGGCCGGTATCGAGCAAGCCCGCCACGCACAGCGGACTGCAGCCTCCGCGCTGCTGCTGCTCCTGCCTCCCTTCTCTCCCTGCACCCCTCGCCCTCTCCTTCTCCATCCCTCCCCCCCCTCTGCCCTCCCTCTTGCCTCCTGCCTCCTGTTGGGTCGCCCCCCTCCCTCTCCTGGATTGTTGTCCGCCGCTGCTGCAGACGTGCCGACGTCAGCCAGCCACGCCGGAGCAAGCGCGCAACACGCGCGTGCTCTTCGGTCGTCAGCGGGCAGGCCGACTCGCCATGCCGTCAGCCCACGCGCGCCAGGCGAGCGCGGGCAGCGCAGTCGGCCCCTCACGAGGCGGGTCAGCCGGCAGCTGGGCCGGCGGAGCCGAGGCGGCGGCCGGGGAGCCCAGGGGCCAGCAAGCCAGGGTTAAGTCGGGCGTGTCCCTCTAAAAAGGGGGAAGATTCAGAAACAGTTGAAAAATAGTCTGGGGACGATGTTTCGACTATTTTTGATTCTGTTTGAATTTGTGATTGAATTGCCCCTTTAACTTTTCGTCCACAATCCCCCCTGTAGGAGGACAGGCCCGACTCAAAGCCAGTGGAGACGGGGGGCCAGCACGAAGAGATGGAGAAGCGAGGAGCGAGGGGCGCCACCGAACAGCCGAGAGGGGAGAGACGGACGGACACGGGGGACGCGGGCCGACCGAAGGGGGCCAGGGGGGAAGCCGGTGGGGCAGGGAGGCACCACACAGCAGAAGGGGCAGAGCAGGACACGAGGCTCTGGGGCGCGCACACGTGGATTAGCGATCCAGGGATTTTGCGCGCGGTCGCCAAGCCCATGGATCGGGGGAGGTGCCCTCCCCCAAATGCGGCTGGCGCCGCCTCGTTCGGCGGCGGAAATCCGCGATCTCCCCTGGAAGCGGGTCCCGTCGCTGATCCACGCCCCCTGGATCCATGTTTGCGATATCACTGGGTAGTCATTAATATCAAACCCAAGAAACGTCAGAACCGACGACGTGGACTCACCAGGAAAAAATGAGGGGGGGGCGCAAAACTGACAGAAGCACTTCCCTCACCACTAAGAGAGGGTCACAAAAAAACTGACGACCACCACCTGGGGAACTGCGGGGATATTGCAGCGAAGGGGTTGGGAATTCTGACGACGGCGCGGCCGCCCGACCCGTTAGTCCCCTTTGCCGAAAGTGAACCGACGACGGCGCGGCCAAGAAACACCCTAAGTCGCTCTCTATTGGAGTCGCGCTCATGATTTTGCGATCGCCCGAGAAGAGGGGGAGGGGCCAGCCGAGGAGGGAGGCGAGGGGGGGGGACGGGGGGGCGGAGGGCAAAACAACGAAGGCGGGGGGAGGAAGAGCAGGGGCCACCAGGGCGGCCGAGGGCCAAGCCCAGCGGGCAGCACGCGCGGGAGGCCGCGCCTCGGGAGGGGGGGGGGGGGCGGAGGAGGAGAGGAGGGGGGCGGCGACGACGACGGGAGGAGGACGAGGAGGGAGGGAAGGACGAGAGCGGCGGAGACGAGGAGGGAAGGACGAGGAGGGCGGGAAGGACGAGGGAGAAGGGGACGACGACGACGACGGGCGAAGGACGAGGGCAGCGGGCTGCTGGTTGCCGAGGGGAGCAGAGAGGGCGGCCGCACGGCCAGTGAACTGACTGGCTGTGGGACGAGGCGGGATACCCCCCGCGGAGGGCGAAGAAGAGAGAGAGAGAGAGAGAGAGAGAGAGAGAGAGCGCTCGCTACATCTGACATCTGGGAGAGTGGGACAATGGCAGGGAGGGGAGGGGACGACGACGACGACAGGAGAAGAACGAGGAGGAGAAGGGGAAAGACAGGGAGCTGCGGATTTGTCCCCCGCCATGTTGAGGGCTCTGCCCTCGTCCTTGCCCTCATCGTCTTCCTTTTCCGTTTCCTCCTCTTCCTTGTCCTCGTCCTCGTCGTCGTCGTCGTCGGCTTCTTCCTCCTCCTCCTGCTTCCCTCGCCCCCACGCGGGCCCCAAGGATGGCCCGAAGAGGCCCTCCAAGGCCACCCCCTTGCTGAAGAGATGTCTCTGTTCATCCTGGCTGCCCGCTTTGTTTCACCATCTGTGTTGTTTCGTCCCTGCGCCGGATTTCATGGGCAATGCTCATGAATGGGCTGGTGGGGATGCGCGGAGCGTGACCCATTCACTGTCTGACGACCCGTGACTCCTGAAACGGCCGCCGGGCGCCGAAACATGGCAGCACATGTTTGGCTAGATGTTTTCGAGCTGCTTGCCTGCCTGCTCCTCCTCCTCCTCCTCCTCCTCCTCCTCCTCCTCCACCTCCTCCTCCTCTTCCTCCCCTCCTCCTGCTGCTCCTGCTGCTCCTCCTGCTCCTGCTCCTGCTCCTGCTCCTGCTCCTTCTCCTCCTCCTCCTCCTCCTCCTCCTCCTCCTCCTCCTCCTCCTGCCGCCCTGCTTGCCTGCATGCTCTTTCTCCTCTGCCCCAGCTGCCTCTCACTGCCTCTGCACCGCCCCCGCCTCGTCGGGCACAAAAGGAGGACACGTGGGTGCGGCGAAAGGGGGGGAGGGCAGTGGTGGGAGTGGCGAGGGTTATGCCTCTTCCTCGCCCTCCGTCCTTCTCCTTTTCCTTCTCCTCCTCCTCCTCCTCCTCCTCCTCCTCCTCCTCCTCCTCCTCCTCCTCCTCCTCCTCCTCCTCCTCCTCCCCCTCCTTCCCTCTCCACCTCCTCCTTCCCTCCTCTCCTCCTGCCTTCCTTGAGGCGGCCGCGCCATGCCCCCCCTCCTCCTCCCTCCTCCCTCCTCCCTCCTCCCTCCTCCCTCCTCCCTCCTCCTCCTCCCTCCTCCTCCTCCTCCTCCTCCTCCTCCTCTTTCCGCTTTCCGCTCCTCTGACGGCGGCCCCCGAGGGAACCACCGCAATCCGAACGCCTCCACTACACGCCGAGGAAGCCTCAGGACTGCCTACACACTCCAGGCTCCCTACTCCGAATCCTCCCAGCGGATGTCCCGCCTCTCGCCCAAGACCTCATACAGCCCCCGAGCCCACCCGACGCGGCGGGGATGGAGAGGGGGCTGCACGGGGCAAGAGCGGGGGATGGGCCGCTTGGAGGAGGGGTCCAGCCCCTGCTTTAATTGGCGCAAGGCCCGTGCTCGGCCATCTGTGGGGTGTCCTGCACAGCGATCCGCGAGGGCCAAAATCTGCCGTCTGGCATACGCCCCGCACACACTGCACCACACAAGACCGCCAGGACCACCCGAGCACAAGAGCCTGTGAGACCAATGTGCCTGAGCCAGCTTCGCCATGACCCCAGGGCACCTGTCGTGCACCAGCCTGGCTCGAGTCGAGCAGCTGCGGCCACAACTCAAGCACAACCAGCGGCCTCCAGAATACTTCGCCTGATGCCCTTTGGGATCCGACACGAGCTCGAGCGGGTCGAAAGCGCGACGGAGCCGAGGTTTGAGAGCATCGGGGAAAGAGGAGGCGGCGAGGTGCGCGAGGATCCTGCCTGAGTAGAGGGCAACGAAATAGGCCGACCACCACAAAAGCGGCCTCAACTCCTCTACCTCCTCAGAAACAGGATGCAACCTCGCGCCTTTCTTGGCATACACATCAGCAAGCTTATTAGCTCTGTAGTGAAGCCACGGGACCCCTTGCGCCTGTGCATGAGTCCAGGATTCGTGGCTTCGCATCCAGTGCAAGTGAATCTGCTCAAGACCTATCTCGTCGATCTTAAACCAAATCTTGCACCACACTTCAGAATACACCTTCGTGGGACGGCAGCACGCTTCAGGCCCTGCCGCCACACCATCGATGAGAGACTTACAATCGGTGACGACCGTTACCTCGCCTACACAATTGCACAGACACATATAAAAAACCCAGAGCTCTGCTGCTCCGATCTCCTGCAAGACTCCAGGGTGGGGCCCAAATATGGCTCCTTCCGAGTTCCCATGGCGGTCTATCTTCACGCAAGACCAACCAGCCCTAGAAGCCAGAGGAAAATTGGGCGCCAAACAGGACCCGTCGATGCCAACGAGACCTGAGAGGGCCCCTCCCACCATGGGCCCGTCATACTCCACGAGCCCATCGAGCCTCGGGGGAGGTTGGAGGTCAAGCAAAGAGTCCACAAGGCCCCTGTGGAGGAGGGGATCATGATGCTCGCATTCTCTGCCAGCACGCGTGACATCGTCCAGGTCAAGCTCGCGTCTGACCACAGCACTGAATTCACATCTGAACAAACGATGCCCCTCGTCTCCTGGCTCCGCCTTGCAGACCTGACACAAGGGCGAGTCGACGGACCGTGCCGCGAAGAGGCGCGCCTGAGTCCAGAGCCCCCCAGCGACATGGGTTCCGAGGAGCTGCGCCGCCGTCTTGAAACCCTCACGTCGAAGCTGCTGCTGAGCCTGACGGATGGGCTCCAGGAGAGGGGGGCCCCCCAGGTTTTCCAAACCAGGGGACCCAGGGAGGCACCGTAGGAGCGCAAGCTCCGTTCCTAAATCGACAACTTTTCGAAGCGAGCCAGGGCGGACCTCCGTCAGATCAACCAGCACCCCCCCCCGCCTCCCACCTCGACTCACTCTGCGGCGTCCAACCCAGGCGCTTCAAGGTGGCCAAAACAGCCGAGCAGGGCCCACGGACCCTGCCGTTAAACTTAGCAAACGCTTTGGCAAAAAGGGACCCCAAGATATCTCTCGACAACCAACCCTCGACGATCGCGCGCCCCCAGAACACCAGCGGCAAGGCGTTGCCCGCATGCGCGGGATCGGACTTGGGGTCCTCGCTGAGAAAAAATTGCAACGAGCGGCTCTTGCCAGCCGACGGCCCAAACAGCGCCGACCCAGCAGCAGCCCTCAGGGAGGAGAGATCCGCGTTACTCATTCCCGTAACTCTGGTACCATACAGGGCCGCGGGAGCTCCTCCTGCCTTGAAAATCCGAGATAGCCCCTTCCGCGACGAGCTGAATAACCGAAACCTGCGAATCCTTTTCCTGACGCTCAGAATCCGACCCTTCTGGACCCTGCGTGCCGC